TACATATGTTATATCCAAAAGAGTGACAATAGGTACAAAACCAATATATTAACTTTGTTTATTTATATTTCTTTCATAAAAGCTCTAAATTATACAAAATTTGTACCAAAATCATAGCCAAAAACCTAAACTTCTTGATTCTAGACTATTAAGTTCAAATAGTCTCAAAAAAATGAATTTAATCCCTAATAAGACTTTGAGCAACCTCTTTAAAGTCTATTAGGCATGAATTTTGGCCAATAAGAATGGTGATTTTCATCATCTATTTCTATTCATCCATATGGTTGGCCTAGCTATTTTTTTTATAATAAATTCCTTCTCTAAAAATTTTTCTAATAAGTTTTGCATATAATATGTCCTAAATATCAAATAAAAGAAACAAAATAAGATTTTAAGAATCACCAATTTCTACTAAAAATGGCTCTAAATATATCAAAACTATTATCAATATAAAATCAACCTCAATAATAGTTGTTTTAAATTAACTACTTCAAAGTAATAATTTAACCATATTTTGTAAATAACTAAAATCTAATAAAGTGGCTTTCACTACATTATATAGTAAATTATATATTAAATATATAATTGATATTATTTTCATATTGTAGCCAAATCACAACACGACATTGTATATATGGATCACAAAAATTTCAAATAATTTATGTTGGCACATATTTTGAATTATTGTTAAGTTTGTTGAAATATGTCTTTATCAAGATTTGATTTCAAAATCACTTATCAATCTATAAAACAATAACGTTTGTCAAATATTCATTCTAGACATTCTAATCTTGCATCAAAAGAAATAGATATATTTTTTTTATCAACAAAGAAAAAAAATTCTCTTGAAATCAAAGGATTTTTATCTTTGAGCAATGAAATCAACATTGGTTGTTGATTCAACCTTTTTCAAGCAAGTTGAATTGATTATATCTTTTGATTTTCTTGTTTATGATATTACAAATAATTCTACTTAGTCTCATAATACTTCTAAGTTTGAATTCAAGAATAATCTACTTTATTTCAAGGAAAAATTATATATTCTAGAAGATGAAGCATGATTATATGTTCTTCAAGCTAATAATGATTTTCTAACAATCGGATATTTTGGATATAATAAGACTTTGGATCTAGTATCTAGAATTTTTTTGGTGGCATCAAATGTAGAAGGTAGTTAAAAACTTTGTATAATCATGTGATATTTGTTCAAGTTCCAAAACTCCTTATCATCCACCTTCTAGACATCTTCAACCATTACCTTTTTTAGGACAACTATGGTCTTTTGTTTTTATGGATTTTATCATGGAGCTTCTAATCTCGGATTTGTATGATTCTATATTTGTGGTAGTTGATCATCTTATCAAAATGATACATTTTGTATCATATACAAAATCTATCATAAGTAAAAAAAAAATAGATAAGCCTTTTTTTGACAATATCTATTGTTGTTATGGATTGTCCAAGGATATTATATCAAATTGAGAGACTCAATTTGTAGCAAGATTTTGGAGAATCCTTTTAAGATTTTAAAGATGGATATAAAACTATCTTTGGCTTTTCATCCTCAAATTATTAAGCAAATAGAATTACATCATACTATAATTGCTTATAGTATATAAAAATTAATTAAAATATTTAATATATTTATAATTTTTAATAAATATTAGAATAATTAGTAGATTAATTTAAAGAGAGTTGATTTAAAAAAATTTATTTTAAAGTTTATATATTTTGATTATAGTATTTAAATTATATAGGATTTAGATATTTAGTATAAAATTTTAGAAAAGATAGGATCTCAAAGATAAAGATCCAAACTACTAAGAAAATTATTTGGATAGATGAAGGCAAGGAATGAAGGTCTTCATCCCTATAGGTCAAATGCCATGCCCAATAAGCTTTCAATAAGCTACTTGTGACCATAACAAGGATTTTGGTAACTTCAAAAGAAGCATTTGAGAATCAAAAGAAAAGATTATAAGATTTAAGATTTGGACTATAATTTATACATAAAAATTAGAGGATTTGAAATTAAGATGAAGAAGTTATAGCCAATTAAAGTTAAGGTGTCTTTTTAAGACATATTGTTACTCTTTTAAGGATACAAGGAGTTGTATAATAGCCTTTGGAGATCAAAAGATACAGTTGTAAGGGCGTTTTTAAGATCTACGCCTTTTATAGAAGAATTGATATACTTGAAATTCATATGAAAGAGTTATAGGGAGTTGAAGACAATACATGTAAATCAAAGATAGTAAGTAAACTATTTTATTGATAGTAATATTTAGAACCATATCTTGAGTTTTTGGATAATTTTTTGACTCAAAATTTTTAAAATTATAAGTTATTAGGTTAAAAAGATATGTACCAATTTTTATGATATTTGAATACTTAAATTATGAGATATAAAGAAAATTATAGGCAAGTATATGTAATTAAAGGTTTGAAGCTATTATTAGGATTTTGGTAATATCTTAAGATCTACAATGAATTTACAATTAAAATTTATTGAAGTAGTTATTAAAGATCAATATTTCATGTAAATTTTGACTTTGTTTAGGTGGTTTGATTGAGAGATATGAACCATTGAAGTTTGAAAAAAAATTCTTTTAAGGATATAAAGAATATTTTTTATCACATTTTAGGTGTTCTTTGGTACTTAGGGCTTATGTATTAATATAATTATCTCTATAAGGGAAATTTTATATATAAACTTGGTGCTTTCTTATCTTGAGACTTAATTAGGTAATTAGTAACAACCAAAAGTCTAATACTTTCTTAAAACAAATTTTGTCTACTACAATAACAGATGAACCAAGTTCTAAAATAGTATTTGAGATGTAACATTAATTATCATGAAGGTGATTGAACAACTCTTTTGTCATTGACAAAGTTTATATATAATAATTTAATATATTCTTCTATTTAATAAATATTTTTTTTGCCAATTATGATTATCATCTACAACTTGATACTTTTGATTTTTTTAAAAGTTAACAATCTTATTGTGGAAGATTTCACAAATCATATATTAGAGCTATATAGAATAATAAAGGCATAGTTAAAGAGAGCTCAAGAACAACAAAAGATCAATATAAATATTTATTGCAAGGAACAACCATAATTTAACATAGATTATAAGGTATGGTTACTTTGTGATAATATCAAGACTATTTTTTCTTGTTAGAAGTTGGGCTATCGTAAGCTTATACCTTTTTTTATTTATAAACAAGTCAATGCTATTGTTCTTTATTCATCTATTGGAGTCTATGAAAATCTATCTTGTATTTTGCATATCTCTTCTTGAGCCATATAAGATAGTTAATATCTTCAAAATAGACAAATGCTACTTTTTCTTATAGAAGTAGATAATAATCAAGAATTTGAAATTAAAGAAATCTTAGATTTAAGAAATTGTTGAAATAAGTTAGAATATCTTGTTCATTAGTACAAATATAATATTAGTGAATGCACATGGAAGCCAGCAAAGAGTCTAAAAATATAATAAATAAGATTAAGACTTTTCATTAATAATATCTATCAAAATCAAGATAAAGAAAAACAAGATCCATGAAAGATAATGATTGCTCTTTGTAGAACTTATTTATAGACTTTAAAATACTATCATGAAAATCCATATTTATTCAAATAATTACATGTATAATTAGATAGAAGTAAATAAAAGTAGATTAATTTTATAATATCTTTTAATGAAGCTTCTTAAAAGCTTTATAGATACGGTTTTGACTTTATACATATTTGCAATTAATTGTGGATTAGAAACTTGGTCAATAAGTTATTCATATACCACACATATTGATAGCTTATGGAATAAGTTTATTATGTGGTACATATATAAAAAACTTGCCTTGCAAATTAAGATATGTGTGTTTGACAAAGTCAATACATGTTGGAGGTCTTATAGAACATTGCTACATAGTTCTTAATTAGATAATATATATGGACGTAAGAGTGAAGTCTTCTTCATTCTTGTCAACACCTTTTTAATCCTTAGTCTTATTCTAAGACTTTCTAATCTTCTTATCTTTGGCAATAGCCATTTTAGTTTAATATTATATCATCTTTGAGTGATTATCTAGTCTTTTTTAGTGATACATGTATTGATCTTTCAATTTTTCAAGATTCATGTCCTTGATAGATATAAATTTCTAGCAATATTTTTAGTAGTCTCACTTCTCTTCAACAATTGCAAGGCTGCTACTTTTATTTGCTTCTTATGACCATTAAAAAGTTACCTTAATGTAACCATTTTGCTCAATTTGCATATATGATGTGTACTAATGATTGAAACAATTATACATATAAAGGCTAAGAACATGCCCATACTTTCAATCATACTTAAAAAACCACTTATATATGCTAAATTTGTAGCTTAAATTGTATCATGTCATTTAAATGTGAACAGAACTAAATTTTAGAAGTAATTCATATTAGTCCACATCTTTCTCAATCTATCTTATATTCCTAAACTTGTAATTTAGTAGCTACATCAATTAATTAAAATAAAACTTGAATCATCAATTAATTTGGTTATTATTGTAATAAATTACAAAGTATGAATGATTAATGGTAGAATTACTAATTTAATACTCAGTTTTGGCAGCCATTGTATGTGATATTTGTCCTAAAACAAAATGTGAATATATGTAATACTAGGTTTGATGTCGAAGTCATCATTTGGGCATGTTTAGTTGGGGAAGTTGATACTAAAAGTAGTAAATTATGGTGGCATGGAGTAGGTGTCGAGATAACTTCCAACCAGTACATTTTCCAGAGATCTTGTCAGCCAGAACCAAAGAAGCAATTGAGCTTATGCAGTGGAATTTCAAAGTGTCGGGAATGCTATAACTAAGCAACTGCAGTGAACCGTCGAGAATGTTGAGTGTGACAAAAGAAACGACGGTTTCCGAAACGATTGCTGATGTGTGGTTACGGCGGATAGAAGGGAGAATGGTTTTCACTATTAAGTGCGCGCAACGTGAGAAAAACGGCCATATTGGAAAGCTTTGAAAAGATTTGAAGGCTCAGTTCACATTTGAAAACCAGTAGCGTCCAATTACCTCCCTCTCATGCCAGTTCTTTTTCATAATTGGCGTAGTGTACATTATGTACATACTAGAAAGCTTCATAATGTACACTGCGCCGTTCGAGAGTTTTCACCGGGGAGATAAAAAAAAAAAAAAAAAAAAAAAAAAACCCCCGAGATTGATCTAGCGTGATGGCGTCCAATAACAATCAGTTGACATACTTGTATGGCATTTGTAAATCGCTCATAGCCAATGATGGCCCTGCATGACCGTCGTTGATTACATCAAAATCTTGTAACTCATGTAAACTTTGGGAATCCTTCGACATGTAGTACTTCTCTTGTGGCTTAGAATAATACGGTATATGATCCCCGGAACTTCTATAGGCACTTCCACCGGCATATATACCTGGGGAAATCCTTCTCTGGCGGTTCGTCGCATCCTCTACTGGGTTGTCCAAGTTGGATGTAAGAGCACCCTCCCATACCATAACATGGAGACGAATGGACTGGCCAGCCTGTCGGTATAGACTGAGTTTGTTAGACAATGAGACGGTGTCATAACAACGTATCGATCCGGAAGACGAGACTAGCCAGGGAGTGAGCTTTTCTAATCCCAGACGAGAAATAACAAGCAGTTTTCCTGCCGCACACGCAGCTTGGTACACAGTCTGGAGCCCTGCCCGTTCAGCCACTGTGCTTGGATCCACAGAAGAGACATAACAAAATCCCTGCAAACGAAAACGAAATCAACCATTGCAAGAATTTCGCATTGCACCGTCATAAAATTCATCCATGGTATGGCTACCCCAGCTATCCGCTTGTTAAGGGGACAACCACCTGCGACAATTCTTTGCAACCAGACCACAAATAAACAAAGGTCGTTCGCAGTGTCCTTGTGCATCGTAATAGAATATACCTCCTCTGTGCAGCTGATGCCAACTCCCAAGCGAGATTCGTTCTCTTCAGGTTTCAGATCGATGGCAAGCTCTGCAGCTGCCGGCGAATACCATAATCGTACTGCTCTCAAAACGTCCACATCCATGGCTTCTCTATCCTGCAAGTACGATTCCTCAATGAATGAGTGAAACTAGATGAACGTAACTTCCAGTAGTGACAGTGGCTACTCGAGTATAACCCAAGATGTTCAATTGCTGATAGCAGGACAACGGGCCAGATAAAACGCCGACGAATCTGCAGCCAGTGCACCACACAAGCCGATCATCTCAAGTGTGCTGTTAAATCGAGCTGAGAAGGGCGATATATCAGAACTTGACTACTTGGACAAAGGAATCAGAAGTTAACTGTGTAAAAATTCCCTGGGGTTCCTTGCCCCTTGTCCTTACTGTGCGCAAGTAGCGGCGGTTTCACCTAGGAAACCAGTTTTTATTTCCTATGATCAAGTCGTAAAAGCAGGCCGTAGAGAGGTCAACCTAAGATAATCGTCAAATGCAAATGAAATACACCTCAGTAAGCGATCTTCACTCGTACCAATAGACAAGACACCGGTAAATTACTCCAGATAGGGTCAAGAGCAATGACATAAAGCCCGTCTCTTAAATAAGTGGCTAAAGCAAATTAAGGTCTCTCCACACCGACGAATTACCTGCATGTCAGTTTTATTTAAAATAAAAAAATATATGTAACTGGTGACTCGGGGCGCAGATTTACCTGTATTCTATAGCATCCAGTATTCCCGATAATCGCTGGATCCTGCCGGTAGCCAGGCACTTGATAATCTGCAAACTGCATTGATATCACATGATCAGAGTGGGATCTTATGGATAACAGCGGCTAATAGCTACTACTGATATTGAGGATCGAAAATGGAGGTCTCATGCAGAAGATGTTACTTCATAAAAGAGAAAATTCACAAATTTTGATTGAAGTGCAATAGCCGCATGACAAAACCTTCGAAAACCGACCACATAGCCAAAATCCAGCTAAGGTACTGAGGTCTGAACGGGCACTTTTCAACAGCAGAGGTTCTGTTCAATACAACTGCTGTAACCATTACCAAATTTGAGAAGTGTAAAAATCTCCATCCAGGGAATGAACAACTAAAGTTTACAAACCTTACACACTTTTAAGTATGTACGACTTACTTGCATAAATAGAGGTTCTGACTGAATATTGACGAAAGTAATTGGCACTCCAGAGGCCTGAGCAGCCAACAGCCAAGCAATAGATCGGGCCGTTGTGTGCTCAATTCCAGCGACATCGCGAGCCTTCGGTGATAGTGCTGGTGGCATGAGGAGAAGGGAAAAAACCATTGCAGAGCCAGAAACAGGTAAGAAAGTCATCATCTTCTGTTCCCATGGGTAAGCAACGTAACTGTCCTTCAATTTCACACTGCTCAACTTCGGCAGAAGATCATCCTTCTTAGAAAAATCCTTCACCATCCTGGATGCTTCCATTATCTGTCGACTTTTATCTGCGCAAAACGGCCGCCGGCATTCAAATGAAAACAAAATCCTTGGCACGACAATACAATTCCTCCTCGAGGGGAACACTGAAGTCAATAGGTTACACCGTGTTCTTTCAAGGTGCCAAAGGAAAAGAATGAATAACTATGCACCTTGCAGAATCAAGCAATCTTGTTCCATAGCATCCACCAATGTTGCTACGTAACCAATGTCATTGGCGCAGGTTAATACATAGGTTTTCTTCAGCAGAGAACTCTCGTCCACGGCAACCCTGGCTGGAACCTCAAGAATTGATGAACCTCTTTTGACCTTGACCCTTACTCCTCCCGATGTATTGTGTAGTCTCTTCAATTCACGTAAAAGACCCGACTTTCCGCCGGGAAACGGAGCTACGATCATAACTCCACTGTCACTGCTGACCTGTGAATGAAGTTTGTTAGCATTAGTGGATTCAAGTTATCATGATTGATAAAACCGCTTGATGAAAAACTCAAAAACCATCCTTATGAAAGTTCCGAATCTGTGGGGTGTACATTTGAATTTGTATGAGCCACAAACACACAAGCTCATCAAAAATTGCAGCACCCAACGCAATATTGGTACCAACCTATCTGGGCAAATTTAAATACGTGCACTAACGAATGCCCATCATGGTTCACACTTTTAACTGAATACGCTCATTGAAAAACCACTTCATATTTACAATTGAAATATACTCTAATTGGTCAAGCGAGGTTACTGACAGCCACATGATTAGACATAGGGACTTCGATATTAGTTTTCCCGAAACTTGGAAAACCTTCATCAAGGCTAGACAACGTGTATATATTGAAGTATCTTGCAACAAACGAAACGCAGACGAAAACCCCATGAAATGAAGAACGAAACCAAATGTAGTTCCTTCATTCAAGCTACTGCACGTGATTCGAAGCACGCAGTGTCGCTCAATGCTACAGAATAACATGCAAGAAAGCTCAGTCAACAAGTACGTAATATTCAGAATCGTCTCGCCTCTAGAACTAATCAGTTGGCCACTGTTTGAGATATGTTTTTTAATGGAAGGTGGCATACTTGAAGCAACACACAATGTATACATACAATGGACCTTGAGTAACTCCGTTAAGAGAAACGGTGACGCCACCTAATATCATTTGCAAACCGCTGCAAAGATATAAACTATATTGGAAGTAATCCGTAATTACTATGCGCAAGATACCGTATCGACGCACTTGAAAAGGATTGAGATTCGTTCTCTAGCACGACTTTCGCCTCTGAAGGACGTAAAGACCATCCAGCTCAAAGAAAAAATATCGGAAGATTCACATGATCCAGAGAAACAAAGCAAAGAACTTAAATCGCCCCACTGACATGATATATTTGCGACTTACAAATTCCTGATCGCACAAAAGAGTTATGGCACACCTACGTAAATCTCCAATTCCAGCCGCACATTTCGGAGTCTAGGACAAATCTAAAAATTGTAGTTCAAAAAAATTATACACAATTGAAGCTCAAGCGCGAGCTAAATTCGACTACATGAGTAGCATTCAAGCGTATAAGCGGAAAAAAAAGATCAAAAAACACTTTTCGTAGATGATCACAGGAGTATCGACAATTCACCTGAAGCACAACGTCTCCACCTAAGAGCTTGCCCTCCGACCATGATTCCGTCTGCGTAGACCCGGACAACTTAATGGCTACCACCGGATTGTTTCCAACCCCTGCCATCTGCCTCTCGATATCTAGAACGTCAAAATCTCTCCTACACTATCGGAGAAAAGACGAACAAGACTCTCGCAACCTGTGAAATTCAACCAATTCGCTAACAATGTGCTACATATATCACTTGCAAATCCGCTCCTGTCACCGCACAAGAGCCTCTTAATCCGACATCATCCAACGAGCCAAATCGGTACACCCTTGCTACACTAACGTGGTTCCACCGAAGAAAGTCACAACCGCGCAAATGGCACAGTTCTCTTCCAGCTTCCACGACAGGTTACTATACTCTCTGCCTCTCTCTCTCGTCTTCAACCAATGCGTCGACAGCCAAACGGAGTGAAGAAAGAGAGCACAGCAAAACCAGAACACCACCTCTCAAAACGGGAGACCCTTGCTCTACTCATTTGCAACCGATCGACTACCAATAGATCGGTCCCTCGAATGCGCAATAATTACAGAAGCCGAGTGAGGTGTGCCAAGACGGTGCGGAAGGAAGGAAGTGTGAGCGAGTGGCGAGCGATCAGTTGAAGGGCACAACCTTGGTCTTCCAAACTTGGCGAGACAGACCCCGGAACACAAACCCAACCAACCATCCACTCCCGACGACGGAGGAGCAGGAGGAGCAGGGTCCCCCGTCCCCCTCCTACGACCGCGGGTCATGTGACCCACGAACGTGAAGCGGCGTCCTTCGATTACCGGCTACCGTTTCTCCCGGTTCCAAACGCTTAGGGGGGATTGCATTCGGCTTTCGCATTTCCCATGTCAGAAGCTCATACGGATTAGCCCAATGTATTCGTTACGCGTGGATTTAGTGGGGGAGAGCACGTTCGCGTGTTCTCTTGCACCTGGGAAACGAGATTCTCGGGGAACTATTCCATTGTTGCTTTGCCCACACAGTTTGTTTTTTTTTTTATTATTATTTATTATTTATTTCGGTGGATTAATTTACAGGTAATATTCTTCTTCTTTATTAGGCTTCAATTCTCCTTTTAGTTTCAATTGTATTTGGCCATAATCCCAAACATAAGCAAGGTTCCTTTCTTGTGGTAGCATGGTCAACTTGGTAAACATGGTCAACAATTTTTATATATAGCATACGTGTGTGAGATTTGTTTAATTCATTCTATGTTTGTGTATGTATATGTGTGTATATGTGTTCCAGAAGTATTCCTTCATCATCTCCTCGCTTTAATGAACATACACAACAAAGTTCTATACCTTGATAATTTTGCAAATTGAAAACATCAGTACCAATTTCTCAATTAAAGATTGTAAAGATAAGTTTAGACCGCTTGAGAATGGGCAGTATTTTGATAGTTCAGAATTATATACAATAGTAATAAAAATAGTAATATCTCATGTTAAATACTATTAAAAATTAGAAAAGCTTAACAAAATGAAAAGATATCCATGATCCATAAATCAGGAAGATCAAAAAATGCATTATAAATTATAATATGTAACAATCAGTTTATTTCTTTTAATTTTATCCTTTGTATACATTGCAAAAAAATTGGATATGAACTATAAAAATTTTAAAAAACATTATGATCAAGAAATGTTTGTAAATATTAAACATTTGTACATTAAGGTAGTTGGAAGAAGGTAAAGAAGGAAAGTTGGTTTCTTATGTAATATTGTATTAAAGGCTCTATAAAAGCCATGCTAAATTCTTATTATTTAATAGCAGCCATTAATTAGTAACATTCATATTATATGAAGCATTTGATTTTGAATCTATTGTGATGTATGAATATGAATTTGACAAGGAAATGGTTCTATTAGGAGGTTTTAAACATGGCCTTTTTAGATAATATTTGTTCAAAATATCCCATGATATTTTGAAATATCACTTGATACTTCACTAAATCACCTATCCTGCAAGGTAAGTGACTTCGAAATCGAAATATCAAAATAAGAGTGGGTTAAATATAAAAATTGCATCCCTTGCCTTACTTCTTTTTTTCCTTTGACTCCATACTACGTTACCTAATATCATGCCTTGGTGCTAAATAAAACAATAAATCTTTTGAGATTTAGAAATTTTGATTACTTTTACAATTGATGAAGAATTTCATGAATTGTTTGATATTTTATCAAATTATCTACCTTGCAAAGTGAGTGACTTGGAAATTGAAATATTAAAAGAAGAATAGAACAAATATCAAAAATTGAATTGCTCATCTCAACTCTCTTCATTCTTTGACTCCATACTACACCTCTTAATACTATGCCTTAGTACTCCAAAAAACAACAAATCCACTAAGATTTGGAAATGTTAATGTGAGGATAATATTCACCCTTCAATCCAAAATACAAGATGGCCTCAATTAAGAGTTGCTTATAATTGGTGGTATGAAGTGGAAGTAGTAAGAACAAAGAATAAAAGAAGAACAACACAAAAAAAGTGAACAAGTGCAATCAAGCAATTGTATACTATAAACTAATCACAATTTGTTTACTGGATTTATATCTAGTAAAATATAAAAATTAAAATTAAAAATATATTTTTAAATAGATAATTTTTTTATCTTCTCAATGACATAAAAAATATGTAAATCCAAGTTACTATGAATAAGTTATGATATATTAAAGATAGAATGTAAATAATAGATAAGTTAAGTGAATAATTTTTATCTCAGAAGTAACTTGCTTAAGAGATCAAGAATTTGAGCGTCACCAAAGCTCATAAGTGGTATATATAGGTTGTCTAAAGAGGCCTTGAGGCCTTAGTCTTATCTTCTTACCTATATCCAAGGTGCTACAATCCATATGGAACTTATACACCTCCCTTCCTATAAGGATTAGATTAGCTATTGGTCCTCCTATTTTTTACTAATAAAACTCATTTTTTTGTATTTTTGACTTCACCAAGGTGTTTAAAAACACCTTGTAGCTTCAAAAACTTGTATGGCCTTCGAAGCTTGTTTCATTTCTTCATAATGGCTTCCAAGGTGGTAAAACTCAATTTTAGCAAGGTGTTGAAATCTTCTATAAAAATTCCTAAAAAATTCTTAATAAATTCTAAATAAATTCTAAAAAATAATATTATATTTTTTTAATAATAATATCTATTTAAGACTATATTTTCCTATTTTTATAATTTTTTATAATAATAAAATCAATTTGCATCTACTAAAAATCCTATTTTCTAAAGAATTACTATAAAAACATGAAATTCTCTTCATGCTTCTTCTAACTACTAATTAATCCATTGATAGGATTTTTATAAGTAACAAATATAGATAGGAGGCCAATGAAGATATTGGTCTCAATAATTAATCTTTAATACTTAATAATAAGTAAAAATACTAAATTAATTAAAATAATTGCCTCTAACACTTACTAAGCCTCTATTTTTATAATTTTTCTTTTAATAAGAATTTTATAACTTATAAATAATTCTAAATTCTAATAAATAATTGAATAGTCAAATAGACTGTCTAAAATTAATATTTACATAATTAAATAATTTAAAACTATATTTTAATTAATCCATTAATTAGGATGTATTAGTGGAACTCACATATGGTGACCATTTGGGATTATTTGTAAGAATAGAAAAAACCAACTCTTGTCTTTAACAAATCTATGAAAAAATAAAAATAAAAATAAAAAAGATATAAAAATAAATACTATTATCTTATAAAAGAAGTAGAATTTAAGAAGAAAATTACTAAGACCTTGAACTAAGAATAGAAAAGAAAAAATGTTTAGTTTAGGCTCAATAAATCTCCCTATATAAAAATGTTTTATTGAGTCATTAGCTCAATATTTAATTGTACCTATATAAAATATCCTAAAGATAAATTAACATATAGATTTGACTTAAATACACTATAAGACGACATAGTATATTGTTGTTGGAACTCTTCATCATACTTTGTATTCCTTACATTGACTTCCATTAATTTGTATAGAAAAATCTTCTCCATTTAATGTCTTGAGTTGGACTGAGTTATTATCAAAGATTTCTTTGATAACATAAGGCCCAGTCCAAAGTACATTAAACTTGGCTAGAAATTCTAGTTTTCTAGCATCTTGAATCATCATCCACATCCTTGGGATAAAAAGTTTTTTTTTTTTTTTTTTTTTTTTTTTTTTTATCTTTTTATTAAAGATCTCTTTTCTTCTTCTTTAAATAGTTTTTATGTGTTGAGCTGTAAATTTTTGAATCTCACTAAGTCTCTCTAAATGCTCCAATTATTCTTTTAAAGATTGAAAAGTACCTAATCTTTCATCAATCGCAATGTGTAAGAATGGAACTTCAAATTTTACGAGCAATATGGCTTTTATTCCATATACCAAAGAAAAAGATATAGCTCTTGTAAAAACCTTGTAAGTAATTTAATAAACCCAAAGTGTTGAACTAAGTTTTAGATCCCAATCATACTTAGAATCTATTATAGTTTTTTTCAATATTTATAGTATGATTTGGTTGACTCTTTTTGTAAGACCATTTGTTTGAAGATGATAGGGAATAGTCTTTTTATGATTCATAGTAAATAATGTGATCATTTCTTTGATAGCCTCATTTAAAAAATGAGTACCATTGTCATTCACAAGAATTTTTAGACAACCAAAATAAGCTATGATATTCTTATGCAAAAAGATAGCGGTTCGTTTAATATTTTTTTTTTCACACCTTTTGCTTCTACTGATTTGCTCAAATATTCTGTAGCTACAATGATATATTATATTTGACATGAAGATGCTGAATAAAGAGGTTCAATATAATCTATATTTCATTTTTTAAATCGAACAAATAGAAGTGATGGATTTAAAGGAATTGTAAGATGTAAATCATTGCATACATATTTTTTGTAAGTATCATAAGATCTTATAAAAGATTTTGAATTAATAAATATTATAGGCTAAAAATAGCCTATTCTAAGAATTTTTTGAATTTTTAATCAACTAAAAAAGTATCCACCACAAGCACTTGAATAACAAGCTTTTAATACCAATAGTACTTCTTTATAAATAAGACAACATCTTAAGATTCTATCGATTCCCTGACAATATAGTTTCTTTGCTATAAGAGCAAAATAGATATTATTCATTCTAATCTTTTTTTGTTCATTTTTTGATAAGATATTGGATAGTTGTTGAGTACTCAAAAATTCAGCAATATATTCATATTATGTAGGTACTAACATAGAATAATTGAGCATTAAGAAGTTTATCATCAATATCTTGGATACCTATAATTGTAGATAATTGTGAAAGATGATTAGCTTATTTGTATTCTTTTCCCACTTTGTATTACACTATATAATCAAATTTTGCTAAAAGTAATATTCAACTTGTTAATCTATCACCTAAATCTGATTTGTTCCCAATATATCTAAAAGCCATATGATCTACAAAGAATATGATTTTATTCATCAAAAGATAATGGCAAATTTTTTTGATGCTAAAGACTATAGTCAGATATTTCCATTCCATTGTTGTATAGTTGCCCTCAGCACTTATCAATTGTTTACTAGCAAAAAGAATAGGATGAATCACATCCTTATCATCTAGTTAACATAAGATACTACCTACTACCAATTCAGAGGTATCACAATAAATATAAAAAGGTTGATC